TTTTCTGTTAATGTTGTTTAATTTGTTGTGTAAGAAATTGTACAGTTAATTTCATGGTTTACAAATTTAACGCTGTCAGGAAAATTACATAAATTCTGGTGAACAAAAGGAATTACTTCGCAATTTTTTTTTTGATATTTTGCTCCTTTCAATATTATATTCCTTGACAGTTTTACCCATTGCTTATTATTTTGTTATATTAATGATGATTGACAGAAATATACATACTTTGCTAAGTCGTGTGTTTACTAAAACCACTGTAAAATTTTATTATGGCGTTTAGTAAACTCTGAGTTTAATTTGACATCTTTTGAGATAATCTCATTTGAAAACTTTTCAATCGCGCGATCCGACTTCGTTCTAAAAAAATACTAGCGAAAAATTGGTGGTTAATGCGAGTTTAAAGAAAAAACTTTACAATATACGGTATGCTTACTAAGTGGCGTTTAATGCGAAATCATCCAGATGAATCTCAATAAACGCGGGAACTGAGAGTAAGTAGTCCCTTGATTGTCACTGACATTTTCCCAGCATAGTTTTTTAGTTAGACCGTGATCGACGTGATCTGGCAAAGCTGTAACACACTTTTGGGTTTTACTCCAATACAGATTAATATTGATAATACTAGATAACTCTCTTTAAACTCTCTAATACTCTTTTTAAATTACTTTCTGACGGCTAATTAATGTCTACCGCCTAACTTACGTGAATGACACTTTAAGTTTCCTCACTTAGATATACTATAACGTGTGATTAACTCATGAATTGATCAAAATAAATTAGAAATGTCAGTTAATGTCCTAATTGAATTTTCAAATTGTAGTTAACTTATCGATTTTGAAATTCACTTCAATTACAATGGCGAAATGTAGGCTACAAACTTTTCAGTCCATACGAAAATTCGTTTATTAGTGGTAACTAGGATGAACTGAGTGGCCTGATAGTCTGAAGCATAAACCTTTTAATCGAGTTAATTGTTTAAATAATGGCAGCACAATTGGTATGACAATTGAAACGGGCAAAAGAGAAGTGCGGTAGGCAAACCTTAACAATAGTCAGGCATTTTAGCAACGCTGGCTGTCCAACTAATGAACGAATGAGAATGTCTGGAAATGGAATGAGCAGCGCACACTGAGCTAAAGTTAAATATTAAGCAAAAATAAACAAATTAATGATGATTCGAATATCTGAAGGAAGTCAAAAAATTTGAATTCATTTAGTGCGATGTATTTCCATTGAATGCTCTATGCTCGTGAAAGTTGTAGCGAAACAAATTAAGTGAATAGAAAAAACGTTAACTAAGGTTGCATCGAAGCTATAATACTCTTCACAGGTATATTATTTATAGTATAAAAGGCTATTAAAACATTTTTATTCTGATTTTGATCGATCAGTTTCCATGGCATCTGTAACATATCGTAATCCGATCTGATCAATATATTCGGAGATTGCAGCCGATAATACTTTGGATAATAATCTATGCCACATTTTGTGAAAATATCTTGGCCAATAAAATAATTTTCCATACAAGGCCTAGAGTTTGATAGGTAAGTTTGTATGTCAGCTATATGCTATAATTGTTTGATATCGGCGGTTATGACCAATGAACAGTTTTTATGTATGTAAGGGACGTGTGGACAATTTTCGAGCGATATCTCAAAAACTAAGCGACTAGTTCGCGTATATACAGACAGACGCACATAGCTTGTCACTTAGCTGTTCACGCTGATTATTTATAAATATGTTTTTATAGGGTGGGTCTCTGACGTTTCCTTCTGGGTGTTACAAACTTTGTGGCAAACTTAACATACCCTGTTGAGCAAATAAAACGAAAACCTAAAAGCACACAGAATCAAGTAGAAACGCAAACAACAATAACATTGGAGAAAGGCATAAATAATAGAAAAGTACTGTAGTAAATGCGAAGGCGTAGTGCCACAGAATTACAAACGAACAGTCAGAGGAGACCGCATCAGCAACGGCGACTGACAAAGCAGAGATCAAATAATAAACAACAAAAACTAACTAAGTATGCAAGAATTCAGCCGACCAATTTGAAACAATGGCAATGTGGTTAGGCAGATCTTTCAATTTGTTATCGATGGGTAATGCTTCAGTTTGTACCAGCTACAACAACAACCTTCAAAACTTATGAACATACTTTTTATGTATATACAAGTATGTATGCGTTTCCTGCTCCAGAAAATTTTGTTTTGTCCGTAAAACTAAATCATCCCTTTGACTTACTTGCAGTTAGGATTAATATCTAGTTTTAATAGATCAAAACGGGGGGAAATCCTAATTAATACTACCTTTAAAGATACCGAAATAATGATTAGAGCGACCAGTATGTGTTGGCGCTAAAACTTACAGGTGCATTTCATAAGATATCCGATAATCTAAATTTGTCCCAGATGAGAGCTACGAAAGCACACGGCTACAAAGTTACGTACGAGAATATAAAAAACTACATGAAAATAGACGTACATTTCTGAATTGTAGCGATACGAATAAACAACTGGCATAAATGACATATACTGACTATTTGATTATACTCTCTTGCATTGAATTCCATTGCTTAACTTTGTTATTGCTTTTACATGTATTTTTTTTTCACAAGAAAAAAGAGCTTATGGATTATGAAGAGAGAAGTGGTAAGTCGAATCGAAACGACTTTTGCGTTGTTGAATCAACAAAAGAGTCAAATTATCATTTATACTGGCATAACTTGTCGCATGTGCGCGCTACCTCACCTCTCACACCCTTCTCCGTCCACTCTTTGGCACTAATGCTAAAATACAGTTTATGCTATTAGAGTTTTTTTCGGTTAACTAAATAGTTTGTGCAGTGTTGGGTATGCTGACGCCCAGCTATAAAGGATGATGACGGCTATTAGGGGCCGCACCACACCTTGGGAAAAATTAAACGAAAGTCATATTTGTTATTACCAAAACGGCGTCATGACAACAACTAGCCAATAACACTGGCAAAACACAATATAACGATTTTACTATATAGCCAATTGCTAGGATACGCTGTGGGCAACACCCAAAACAATAGTCGCGTCGTGAACGCAAAGGAAGGCGCGTGTTTTATGAGCATTAAACGGCTGCCGTTTTCCAGTCTAGTGGAATCATACAGTTTCTACACTTCCAGACAAAACATAAAATGTGAAAACTATTGTTGAGAACAATGGCAGACAAGTAGAAACGTTAAAATTTGCATAAAACATTTTTAGGTGACATTCAGTCAGCAGCTGGTACGAAATTCACTTTATTTAATTTAGTCTCGCGTATTTTCGCACAAACTAACACAGTGCAAACTAAGTGCAAAAACTGCGTGCAGTTATTGTATGGCCCACCTATGGCCGATGTGTAAACGGGGACTATGTCGTTGAGTCAGAAATTGTATAAAATTACGAAATTCACGAGAAGTGTTTGCAAAAAGTTCACCAAGAAAATGCGCAAGGATAACGAAAATGCAAAATGAACGATATTGCGTTAAAACTCTAAACAAAAACACTCCAAATTGATTAAACTCTTTGCATACAAGTGTTGTTGGTGGCGTGTATAAAGTGTTTCACAAACGAGCAAATCAAGTGTTTCTTTTCCCATTACTTGTGAATTCTTATACACAAGCACGTACCTATATGTGTATGCAACACTGTAAGTATCTATCGTACTGTACATATTTGAGTTTGTTTAATCGATTTTGTAAGTTTTTCTACACGACGACAAGAGTAGTGTGTCATCAAAGGCCAGTAAAATAGCTTACAGTGTTGTAATTAAGTATGTGTAGACTATTATGCAGGAGAGAAGAATTTTCGCGAATTTACATACCTTTACCTAATATAGGGTGTTAAAAAATATCGATTTACAACTGCATAAAACCAATACTATTCATACATAATAATAATAATGTGGTCAAAATACCTTTATTACAAAAGTCTGCAATTTTAATCCAATATTTGTAGATAAGCTTTATATTAAGTCAAATGAAAACAGTTACAAGATAGTTTTATAAATTCACTATGAACTCGCTTAGTGATAGATAGATAGCTATTATTTTTGACTACGTAGTTACTAGTTATTCTTCATGTGCAACCTTACATAACTTGCAGTACATTCGATTATCAAACAAACCCCAATTTTTATGTCGCAGGCATGATTTTTGACAAAAAAAATACTCTTTTAACAATATATTCAATAAAATATTTTTTTATTGTTTTCAGAATTAAAAAAAAAAAATTTTTTTTTAACATTTTGATATATATTTAACATCTTGATTAAGGTTGTATGAATTTTCGACCTCGAAGAAATTAGTACTGTTACACCGGCTTAAACCCCTTTTTTATTTGATACCTCTAAATATTCTAGACTAAAATTAGAGCCTCACAGTACTTCAAATCGATCACAGTTACTGACAGAAATCCACTTTTTTTTTTGTCAGTAACAGTTTCCCTACTTGTATAAAGACAAGGGTATTTTTTGCCTAATTCACTCAGCTGTCCGGACTTGGCTTAAAACTTGTAGGTTCATTAATTTGGCTGAAAAACTCCTTAGATCTACCTTAAATATCAAAGACAGCAAATATAGACTCCAAATATGAGTATATATCGTCGACTGTGTGATGGATCACTCTATTTGGATATATTTTTTGAAAACGCTCTCATATCGTATCTGAGTATTTTTTTGAAGCAAATGTTGAGTAATTAGAAAGAGATGGACTCAAATATATATTAGCGCTCTCTCCGTGGGACGAAACAAGTTACATATATAGACACGAAACAGGTTACATATATACCTGCTATTTTACTTTTCTGTAAGGTTGGCAACCTTGTGCACCATATTCCAACACATAGAAATCGTTTAAAAAGTGGTACGAAATTTTTATTAAAGAGGTTATGCTTTATGACTCTAGAAAGATCTTTTCTATTTTTTATATTATATTTTTTAACAGAACGTATTTATAATGATACAGTAAAAAACGATATATAAATTTTTTTCAATAAATATTGAAATTTATTTAAAAGCATTAGAAGAAAAAATAAATAGGCTAACTTAAAAAAAAGCCTCTGTTATTCTGCTGCTGACGAATGAGTATAAGAATTCATAAATCACTTTCAAATGCAGACACATTTTGATTCAACAGCGCAAACGTGGGGGCACCTCTTTTATTTGATGATCTTCACCGACTTTGAAAATGCCAATCATGCCACGCACGGCCTGACTATCCAAGGAACTATGATACATCCAGTAGCCGGGATTACTGCTATAGAAACGTATGATTGCATAGCCGTGCGGTGGCACCTGCACAGTGTCCTTTTGGATGGGATAATCATCGTTTGAACGTTGCAGCAAACCTCGTCTATCGAGATCTATTATCTGCACGTAAATAATTTTCAATCAATAACAAAAAATCTCACTCCTAACTCTATAACGGAAATCTCACCTGTTTCTCGTTTACTATGCCATCCAAAACATTCTGACCGACCAAACGCACAGTGTAGCCATGCAAATGCACCGGTGTCGGTGCATTATTATTATTGACCAAAACGATTTCTATGGCACGATAAGCTGGTAAATGCACAACATTCGTGCATATGCATTGCTGCGTTTCACACTTTTGACCCTTTGCCGCGAGCATCGAGCGATTACAGTATACGCCTTTCTCATTGTAGAGACCGTTAGTTTGCAGAAGTGAAATTTTCGACATCTTAAAAGTGATGTCATCAATTTGATAGGATACATCATTGGCAGCAGACGTTACACGCGAGCCAAATAACGAATAGTATGTGAGAAATTCGGTGTCACGGTTCCATGGCTGTTGCTCCAAAGCGCTCAAACCAACTGTGGCAACATTCGTGGCTTTGAAGTTAGCGCGTGTACATGCACTTTTCTCGTATGATACAGTTTTCTTCAGGTGTTGCTCATAATCGCCTACGGTGAGATATTCCTCTTTATCGTTATCGCAAAACGAGGTTTTCACCATCGGCTTTTGTGGCAATGCTCGACCTACAACGCTTTTATAGGTCAATATAGCGCCCTGATAGAGGTTTTCCTTGGCGCAATCCTCATAACCGCGGACCCTAATCCAATAGCTACGCGCTTGCTGATTTGCCTGCAGCACGAAATCGAAACGTTCACCAGCGGTCATGAAAAAGCTATCGGCTAGCACTGGTACAATGTCATTGCCATCCGTACTAATCATAAGCATTCGATGGTTTTCCACTGAGAACTCAACGGGACAGTTGAAGAAACTATTGTAGATGATACGGAAGCGGTAGCGCTTACCATTAGCTACCTGTAGGCGCTCATAGCGATGTCGCGGATCGCGATCGGAAAGGCTCGAAGCATGATTTCTACCCTTACCATTGATGAGTAGATTTCTCACACGACTCATATCATAACCGTATACATAGTCTTGTATGAGTAGTGTGTGCTCCGGCAAATCGAAATCGTATAAGTAGGATTGTGGATCGCTTTGTATGGGCTGTCGTATGATGAAACTGCCGCCCACACCCATGTTACGCTGCAAACCAACATGACTGTTATACCAGACGCTGCCCACACGTTCTGCATTAAATTGATAGCGATAACCCTCAGCTGGCTGTATTGGATACTGTGTAACAAATGGTGCACCATCCATCTCGGGTGTACGGAACATCGGCATGCCGTGCCAGTGTATGCTGATCGGTTCGGTAAGGTAGTTGATGACATCAACCACAACAGTGTCGTCCACACACACCTCGATTGGTGGTGCGGGCAGCATTTGATTGATGGCTATTATGGGCGTGTAAACACCATCGCCGTAAATGCATTGCTGTTGCGGACAGGCCGCTGCGTTATTAAAGCAATGTTCACATTCGGCGTTCGACGCCTGGTAATGATGCATCACCAAGCGGTAATAGCACGTGAGCGGTTGATTATTTTGACAGCGACGTTCGCAGGAATGACGTCCCTTGTTATCTGCTACACTGAAATTAGCTGACTTGAGGTAGTGGTTGTGGTTCGCAGTGTCTAAATTGCGCGATATTTGCTCGAAATCAACGGCAAGTCTGAGCTTGTCATCTGTAGCGTTGGCGGTTGTGGTCACATTCTCTTCTCTTCCAATGTGTTCTATTATCTTCTCCTGCGCGGCTTCTTCTAATCCTTGCGCCACTGTTGCCAAAAGTTGGACTATAATCATAAACGTGGTTAAGCGTTGTAGTACACATGCTAAGGTCTGCATTGTATCGTTGTCTAATTAGTACTGTTGCGAATACAATTTGTTGTCTCAAAAGAAAGCTTTAAATTTATTCATTTCACTTTCGCTCTTATTTTTATTCGCCTTTATTTCACAGTTTCTTTAAAATAATAAAGAAAAGCTGTGAGTATGTTTTGCCATTGGTTGTTTGGCCTCCAATTGGTATGCAGAAGACTGTCGCTATTTACCGCAATCGCTGCGTGGAATCCGCAAAAAGCTGGTGTGATGTCGGCATACTAATCAAGCGTCACAAGAAATTGTTGTTTTGATAACTTTTTATGCCTCGAAGTTTATATATATTTTCGATTATCGAGTTATTTCTCTCATTTCTAGTATTGTTGTACAATGTACATTCTTCAAATGAAGATTCTTTTATCAAGAATTCAATGCTTGTTTACGCTACTACAAGTTGGCGCAATCTTTAGGTTTTGACAGTTGACAGCTAGACCAATTGTTTGTTTATTAGTGAGGTAATGAGTAACAGCGCCGCATTTTTCGAAATTTGCGATTTCGTAGTCCCTAAGGAAAGTTTAATTTCCGTTTATTCTAAAAATATTATTTTTCAGTCTGGTCGTGACATTTTCTAATGGACAAGTAAGACAATTTAATTAGAGTGAAATTATACTGTCTTAAATCAGAGGACAAGTTTGAAGTTTTGGAAAATGCCTTCCAATTCCGTAGCCCGCCAGAACGTCATGGCAGGGAATGCTGAAATATTTAAATATATATATATTTTTTGATTTTTTTTTAATCGTTAATTATGAGAAACCAAAAACCAAAAAAAAAAAATGAAATTTTCAGCTGCTAATTGTTTGAAAATGTTAAGTTAAACAAGAAACAGCGTTAACTTCGAACAAAAGGTTCCTTAGAAGAACTTGTTCCGATCGATTAGTTTGCATACCAGTTATATGCTATACCGATCCGATCAGAACAATTTCTTGGGAAATTCCATTATTGTCTTAGGTAATAATTGGTTCCAAATTTCGCGAAGATATCTCGTCAAATGTAAAAGTTTTCCATACAAGAACTATATGCTATAGTGTGCCGATATCGGCCATTATTTCAAATGGGCAGCTTGTTGGTAAGAAATGGTCATGTGCTAAATTTAAGATCGATAACTCAAAAACTGCGGGACTATCTCGTAAATATACAGCCAGACGGATAGTCTCAGCCCATCATGCTGATAATTTGCATATACATTTACATTTTATAGAGTCTCCGACGTTTCCTGCTGGGTGTTACAAAATTCGTGGCAAACTTAATTAACCCTGTTCAGGGTATAAAAATTCGGGATATAAATAAACACAATATAGACATTGATAACGGCTTTAAGTAAACAAGCTTTTTGAAATATTATATATTCCGAAATAGAGTTGCTCTGTCCTTAACAAATGATTAAAGTTAACAGTTTTTTCCGCCTGAGATAATTTTTCGCAATGTTGCCAGCTGTTTAAAAAATTATTTCAAAAATATTTTATTCATTGATATCATATTATGAAACGTCTCTTTTACATTTATTTTGACTCTACTCAGCTGTCACTTAATAGTAACGCAATATAATATATGTAAATAATAAACTGGTGTTCATTAGCTGTTATATCTGTAGTCTGATTGGTATTTCCGTCCAATGTATGAAATACATATAGTCATTTTGCACCAATTATTTTAGTAGAAAATGATAATCAACGTTTTTAATATCTACAAGACAACAAATGTCATATATATAAATCCTCTCCTCAGTGTAATCAAAGTTTTCGGTGCTGCTAAAGAGGTTGGAATTTTTGAAATATTATTACTTGTTACTATTCTCAGTATATTAAAACTACCAAAACAATTAGTTTATTTAAATTTAGTTCTTATTTGTATCACCCTGTGTTCTTCAGATTAGTGTACCCGTATATATGCGCCTAAAAGTATGTAATTACTTACTTTACATTAGTGTCGATCAGGCAACGTCAGCCGTTACATTAATATATCTATGTATGCATTGCATTTAAAAGTCACTCTTAACACTATAGAACCTTAGCCTATATTTTAAGTAATCGCTTAAGCCAATATATAATTTTTTTTTACACATCGAGTTTTGGATAAAATTCCTAAACGCATACCATTCTCAAACACTTTGTGTTTGAAACAGAATTTTGTTAACAAATGCAAGCATTGCAATTTATTTTCGCATCCGAAGAATTATTGTGCCATAAAAATTGCTTAATGTACCTTTAGATCATATGCTTTTGACAATTGCACAGTTTCTCCGACGCATATTGCACGAACATTTGCTCGAGTATCTTATTTACACCTACAAACATGCACTTTCATTTAAATATATTTTTGTTGTTATGTGTGTGTGTATACATACCTATATGTATATTTACATAAGCATTAGTTGCATATGCCGGAGATATTGCGCTGAAGCACGTTCATCTTGGCTAACTCCTTTGTTATGCAATGCAAAGAATTTTCTAAGTGAAATTGCATGCACTTTTGTTGTGTATGTGTGGGTGCCAGAGTATTGTAGGTATGTACATGCATCTACAAGTAAAGATATGTCTTTTTTAAGCTTAATATTTGTGGAATTGTGCATGATATTTATGCTTTGTCATTTTTGATAAAGTAATAATAGTACAAACCATGCAGAAGATTTTTTGTTTATTTTTATGTTAAACTGTACTTTTGCAGCATTTTTGGTTGCTATGATATTATATGATATAAATTTGCTTTAATGTGCCATGGCAGCGGAATGTATTTGCATATGTACGCTCTTCAAGTATACCGACATAACAATTTGTAATTTTTCCATTGTTTGGAAATATTTTTCACTCAAAAACTTTCATGTCCTTTATTATACGTTGAACTGTGTATATCAAGTTTGCCACGAATTTTTTAACACCCAGAAGGAATCGTCGGAGACCCTATAAAATATATATGTAAATGATTAGCATGACCGGCTGCACACGTTCTTTTCTCAGCAAGAAGTTGCTTATTTGTCGGAATCACCGATGTCGGACCACTATAGCATATAGCTGCCATACAAACGACGCGATAGGAATCAAGTGCTTGTATGGAAATCTTTTTTAGTTGACGAGTTAACTTCAAGAAATTTGACAAGGATTATTGCCAAAAGCAGTGGTGTAATCTCCGAAGAAACTGTTCAAATCGGTTCAGTATAGCGTATGTATGCCATACAAATTGAACGCACAAAGTTTTTGTAAGAAATGGTTTGTATTTGTGAAGGGTATTTAGCTTCAGTGTAATCGAAGTTAAAACTTTTTCTTTTTTTTATAAATTTTTGATAATGATTGCAATAAAATAAGAGTTATTGAAATTACGTTTATTTTCAATTGAAAAAAGCTCGTCTGAAAAACGTAAAGTTCGCAGAAAGCTTTACATTGATCTACACCTTAAATTATTAAATTAATTTAAATAAAATATCATATATTTTTTTATATTTTTTTTTCGAAAGTCGTATTTTTTTAATGTCATATTATTTTTTTACTTTTTCTGTCGAGAAGTTCTAGGAGAAGTTCAACGCGTTGGCAAAGAAAAAATTACCAGTTTATGACAGAATTAATGCACCAGCCTTTAAAGTGCCACCAGGAAACGTAAGCAGCATGATGGCCAAGCTCTCCAATGCTCTGCTCAGACTCTACTAGTTTCCTTCTCAATGGAAATGTTTTGCGATAATTTTGATTCCGTAGCCTGTTAAATCTGAGCATCTAGTAAATGCATATCGAGCGATTAGACTACTGGTAATTATTTCGCAAATATTTGAAACATTATTTTTGCGCAGACTTTCGCCTCTGCTAGAGGAGAAACAACTCATTCCGGTTTAGCATCAGAAAGCTTTATGGTACAACTCAATTACAACTAGCACTGCAATATGTTCTTTTATTCACTCGTTTATATATTTTTTAGGGAGTTTTTTCATATTTTTTATCTGAATTTCTTGTGTACTCACTTTTCTTTTCTCCCACACACTTTCCTTTACAAGAGTTATATAAAATGTATGCTAGCAAGAAACTAATCAACGTTTTACCTTTTCTTAGCGTTTGCATACAAAGGCAGATGTAAAATATGAAGCGTTTCACGGAACTTAACCCTATAGTAACACACTATAGATGAAATCATTGCTATTTTGTACGAGTACTGTTTTCATTATAAACTTTATATTAAAGATCGTTTATTAATAAATTTTGCGAAGGCTAGAAAGCAATAATTAAAAACTGGAATGGAAAAACTTAAATCAGTTACGAGTAAAGTACACAAATTTCATACTCTTTCTGTCTTTATTACCAAATACTTTTTTGACATTTGATTACTCACGGGTTTTGAATGTAACTAGCCTTCTCTTCGACTAAAAATGCGTTTTTTTCCAGTTTTGAGTATTGAGTACCTTAACATTCTACTAAATTCATGCGAGGTCTTAAAAATAGAATATGATAAATCTGTTAGCTGACGCCCTTTCGAGAGATTAGCGCGAAGTTTAGTACGAATATTAAATAAGACAACGGCTGCCATGCACAGTCGAGCTTTCGTAAACGGAACGAACAGGGACTTATACCAAAACTTTTCATTTTTCCGCTATAACAGCAACAATATAACTTCTTGCATCTTATTTAGAAATGTCTAAGATCAACGTGGTTGTTGTGGGCCGTGGCCGTGGAACCGGCATTCAAACTCAACTACCGACAGTTTCTTATCTTCGAACTCGTCTTCTATGGCTTCGCACTGCCACAATTTGGTTGCATGCCACTAGCACGCCACTTATTTTCTTGCATATACAGTTATTTATACGAGTATATACTTGTATAAAGTAAGTTTTACACGGCGATTTGCCTGAATTTTGATTGCAACTACATGGATGCAGTGCAGCAGCGGCGGAAGCCTTTTAAATGTCAGTTCAGCAGGATGCCGTACTGCTGTGGCAACAGCAAGTTACACACCGATTATCACATACTATTTTACTGACTCAATCGGCAACTCTTGGTTATCGAGCTGAACTATATACCCGTAAATATACATGTATACTTCAGCGCAGACTTTCATAGATACTTTTAGCAATCTGCTTTATATTTGCGTCTATTGGCATTCGCTTGGGGCTATTAGTGAAATCGTTCTTCTATTCACTCACCTTGCAACGCCTTCTGGCCATTGCTTTCATTTTAGCTGCCACAAGCTTACGTGCGCACTATTATATGTAAGTGTGTTTGTATTGTTTTGCATGTGTATATGTGTGTGTGTGTTGGCTTTGTTTGCTATGTTCGTGCCACATTGCCACACCAATTTGCAGCAAGTACTGGCGCTTATAATCACGCTGTGCTACAACAACAACGCATGTATACAGTCGTCTATAAAAGTGCAGCATACAAATAACGGCATATGCCGATCCTTGCACCCAAGTGTGTGTGTGTGTGTTAGTCTTTTCCT